CAGACACGTGAGCTATCTGGCCATTCCCTCTCGCACCAGAAACCCCTTTGGGTCTGGATCAACCGGCCATGCGCTGCCTCGGATGAGCCATGGTCTCGTGCCCTCTTCATCCTCCCCTCTCTCTGCTCCCTCCTCTCCTCTCTCACCTTTATCCAGCCCAATCTACCAAACTGCAGAGCATAGCCTGCAGTACCAGCAGCAGCAGCAGCAGCAGCAGCAGCACCAGCACCAGCACCAGCAGCAGCACCAGCACCAGCACCACCACCACCGCCACCACCACCACCACCAACAGCTGCAGCAGCAACAGAAACAGGTCTCTCCCCCTTACCGCCCTCTCTCTCCCCTCCCTCCGCGGCCCCCCTCGCCCCTAGCCTCTGTCAACCCATCTCTCTCCTTCACGCTCTCTCTCGTCCCCTCCCCACCCGCCAAGGCATGGAGGGGTGGCACCCTCTCATCCTCCTCACCATCCTCCTCCTCACCCATCTCCTCATCTCATGCCATGTCCAACACTCCCACACAAACCACTCCCACACATACCACCCCCACACAGACCACCCCAACGCATAATACCCCAACCACACCAACAGATGGGACATCAACCTTGGGTGCCAGTCTCTCATTATCACCTGACGTTCCAGCAGCAGCAGCAGCAGTGGCAGCGGCGGCGGTGGCAGTGGCGGCGGTAGCAGCAGGGGAAGTATCAGCTAAGGCCGAGAGCGCAGGGGCGAGCAGCAGCAGCAGCAGCATTGCAAAGGCCCTAGAAAGAACCCTTTCCCTGGGGGACAAGTCAGCTACTATCAGTCGCCTGGGCCTCACTGCGAACGACCCGGCTGTTCGGAAACACTTCCCTCGCAACTCCTCCTCCTCCTCGCTGTCCACCCACTTCCTCTCCGCGCATTCTGCCTCTCTCCAGGCGAACACCGGATTGGCTCAGTCCCTTCCGAACCATGTGCTACGGGCAAGTGAGGCGTCGCCCGCTAAGAAGCGGAAGAGTGTAGAAGGGGGTGCTTTGGATTGTTTCCAGGAGCCGCGGAATGGTATAGAGGGTTCTTTTTTGGGGATGTCTTCGGCTAGTTGCTGTATTGGTGATGTCCGTGTTTCTGGCGGTTACGTGCGTCAAGATGAGAGGCAAAAGGGGAAAGTAAAGGAAGAAGAACGAAACAGCAAAGCTCCTATGGAAGGCATAGATCTTGGTCTTAGCTTGGGATAAGGTACTATTTATCTTTCCATTGGGAGTTAGCAAGCTCTTTAAACTCGTTTTTATTCTCACGTTTATAAGTTTGGCTTTGAGAGTGTAGAGCCTAAACCCCTTCATTTCTCTTAGCAAATTCTGGTTCCTACTGACTTTCAATATTCGCCCTTTTGGGATCTGTTGTGGAAATGACCAGTAGCGCCGTCGTCTGCTCTGTCGGTCGCGGTCGCCTTCTTCTCCCAAACGTCGGTTGAGCAAGTCGCACCCAGTCGTTAACGGTGCATCGCGGGTACTGTATATTTTTGGCCGTTGTTGGCCCGTGAGAATGAAGCATACTCAATTCCAATTCCCGCTGACCCCGCCAAATTCATCTCGTCGAGCCGCTGTGATTGGTCATATTGTGCCGTCGCACACTTGGGCGACTGTGAGTCTCCTCGCAAGCGACATGTATTTACTCAGCCCTGCCCTTACTTGTTGACCGACGAAACCAGCCGCGCTTCGGGAAAGCCGCCACACCCAAGCCACGACGCTGAACCCCAAAACGAGAACATCTCGAGTCGCGCATTGGAAACGCTGGAGGCGTGAATCTTTGGAGCCGCGCGAATCTCCTTGGTTTTGGTTGCTGATTGATGGATCCACCCAAGCAGCAACACCACCGACGGTTGTTCGCAAAAACTCGCATATTCAAATAGCCATAGATATTGCATCATAATCATTCAGCTAAGGTTGCTAGTCCTACTCAATTCTAGTTCCTTAGCTCTCCAATCAAATCCAGTTTCCCCTGCTACTTTAGCATATTCACACTTGGCTTCGTTCCTCGTTTGATTCTGGAATTGTTTTCCTTCCTTCAAAGGACGCCGCACTCGTCGCCATGGCCAGGTTCCTATCGCTCGCGCTTTTGGCGGTCCTCGTCGTCGGGGTGGTTACTCCCCTGGAGGCAGCGCCGAAGATGTCGCTGTACGAGAAGAACCTGAACGACGTGATCACCGTCGTCAAGGCGAAGCCCGGTTACAAGGCTTTCGCATCACTCGTCGGCGCAATTCGTAAGTGGCTCATACACGGGTTCCGCATCAGTTTCGCTTGACAAGTTCGTGGTCGATTCTTCACTTTCAGACAATCTCTAAATCCAACGTTAAAACTATCTTTTTTTCCTTCTTTACCCCCCCACCCTATCCCTCCTCTCCGCCGCCCCCCGCCCCCCCCCCCCCCCCCCCCTCCACCACCTTTTACTCCCGATTCCTTTACCAGTCAAGCAATCGCAGCTGAAGAGTCTCGTCCAGCAGAACCTGACCATCTTCGTTCCCAACGACAAGGCTCTTAACGACTTCAACCTCACCCAGTACGCCACGGCCGACCTCCTTAAGGTCGTCAAATACCACGCCGTCAAGGGCACGTACACCTTCGCGCAGCTGCAGGCGCTCGCCGCATCTGGCGGGAAGCTCCAGACGACCCTCGGTCTGACGATCTCGCTGACCCCGACGAAGAAGGGCGTCGGCATGTTCGGCATGGAGAAGATCGGCGCTGCTGTCCTCGATAAGGACATCTCCATTAAGCCGACGGTGGTCGCGCAGGGAATTTCCCGCGTGCTTAAGCCTAAGGGCTTCGTTATCAAGGGCGCGGGCGCGGCTCCCCCGACGACTAAGTCACCCGCGACTAAGTCTCCGAATCCTACGACTACCTCTCCTAAGACTCCGAAGACTCCCAAGGCTCCCAAGACCACCGCATAAAGTGGGTTCTTCTCTGACTCTGCCTGGTTTCGAAGACAAAAAAGTAGCCGAAGACATGTGGCTTCTGACAACGGTTGTTGGAGCTACATAAATATCATGTCGGAAAGCCAAAAATAAGGCTTATACGTTAGATTTAGACGTCAGTAACTTGTAGGCAAATGATGTAATTATTTATTATTCGTTAAATTCTGTTATGAATGAACTTGCAGAGTGCGCAGAATATCGAATAACGAGAATGAACTGATTACCGAATTACTGAATTCCAATACAATGGAAGTGACGAAGCCTAAATAGGGGAAGTCCTAGCTAGGCCGGGAGGTTGGGCGAGGATGGCTCGGTGATGGTTGCGTTTGGTGCGGAGGCGACTCGGGAGTGGTTCGGTGCGACGAAATAGGAAGGACAGGTTCGTCGCGTGACCCTCGAGATGACCTCGCTAACGAGTGCCTCATTAAGGATTTAGTAAATCCTTACAAATTCCCCTACACCACCTTAAAAAAACCAGACCCAGAGTCTACAAGATTCCTAAATCCTTACTGGGTCACATCACAACGTATGCATCCGACCCCAACTTTCGGAAGACCACCTCACATCCCCACAACGTCGCGTTCGAGCTCGACAATCTCTAACCAGCACCCAACCTCGCTGTCCAGTGGTCCCCGCCTAGAAAGACCCTTCGCTATATCAGTGCTAGTGCCATTTTCTTGATCATTAGTTGTACTAGTGTCGTATTGCCTTCCTCACACTTTATTTGTTAATACTATATAGGGATATTCCGGACACAGCTTTCCTGCAGCGGCGGAATTTGATTGGGACTGCAGGCAGTTGCGGGGTCTCATGTGACATAGCGATCAGTGCGACGCATGAGTTCACCCCTCAAAATGGATCCCGCCATCTCCTTTGACCGCGAATTAGAAACTATTGATAATTTCTGGTTGTAAACCATTTTTTCGCCAAATAATGGCGGGAATACACATTAAACTCGTAGTACCAATAATGGCGGAATACCAATTAGACTCCGTTGGTGACTTCTGGCTGTAAAAGTGTTTCCGCCGAAATTCCACCTAGCTGCGCTGTAACAGAATACACATCAACGGGTATACCCCTTAACGGGGATAACCGGAGAAGGGAGTGTTGGGAGGGGAGGGGGGCTGAATGAGAGAGGGGAGGAGGAAGGTGGGGAGCAGTACGTTATGAAAATGAGCTCTTGGGATTCGGTTTTCGGGTTTCCATCTGCCCATTTCGGTTTTGAGAAGTCGCAAATCTCTTGGAAATGGAGTTTAGGGCGGGTCCAGCTTTGCACACTTCCGTTTTTTTCCATATTTTGACGTCAAAACACTTGTCAAATTTGACTGTACCCCAGGGCGTACTCCTACCGTTTCCTGTCCAGTTCGGAGTGTACAGTGCGTACTTTTGACGAGGTACATGAACGTTGCGAGGTAAAGTACTTGGGAATGGGAGTTACCAAATGTTGCGAGGGTTTCCGCATCTTGGGCGAAAAGAATAATTCACTTGCGAAAGGGTTTCTGGCGAAAAGCGGGCGTTACTGTTTGACGACTTTGACGGGAAGCGATTTGGGAGACGAACCTTCGGATGTGTTCCGCACGTCCCGGGGCGCGTTTCCGAAATGAGCCCATTTAGCTGGTAATGCATATGTGTGTATATTTTCAGTTATTGCCTTTTCGTTCATTCACTCAATCTATTCGCTCTGGCTTTTTGACCGACCAATAAATCTGCGTTTCGAGAATGCCGCCACACCCCAGCCACGATGGCGATCACCAAGCCACAGATGCACCAAACCGAAAAGATTTCGAGCCGCGCATCGAAAATCTTGGAGGCGTGAAGTTGGAGCCGCGCGAATTTCCATGGTTTTGGTTTTCGATCTGACAGAGCAGCACACCACCGTCGGCAGTTAGCGAGAAACTCAGATGTTCAAATAGCCATGGATGTCACAGCATAATCACTCAGCTAAGGTTGCAAGTCCTCCTCACTTCTAATCCCTTAGCTCTCCAGCCGGACACAGTTTTTCCTCCCAACTTCGCAGCTTTTCCTTCCTTCCTTCGAAAGACTTCGCAGTCGTCGCCATGGCCAGGTTCCTATCTCTCGCGCTTTTGGCTGTCCTCGTCGTTGGGTTAATTACTCCCCTGGAGGCAGCGCCGAAGATGTCGCTGTACGAGAAGAACCTGAACGACGTGATCACCGTCGTCAAGGCGAAGCCCGGTTACAAGGCTTTCGCATCACTCGTCGGCGCAATTCGTAAGTACCATTAACACGAGTTTCGCATCAGTTTCGCTCGACAATCAGTGGTCCATTTTTCGCCTCTGCAAACCTCGGTCTCCTTAACAGATCAGCCAAGCGGCGGCAGTCGTCCCAGCACGGCCGCGACGAGCACGAGTTGCAAAGTCGTCCCAATCCCAACCCTGACCCACTTAAATCAGCTTTTATCCCTCTCCCCCTTCCCTCCTTTCCTCCTTTCCTCCCCGATTCGCCAACCCCAGTCAAACAATCCCAGCTGAAGAGTCTCGTCCAGCAAAACCTGACCATCTTCGTTCCCAACGACAAGGCTCTTAACGACTTCAACCTCACCCAGTACGCCACCGCCGACCTCCTTAAGGTCGTCAAGTACCACGCCGTCAAGGGCACGTACACCTTCGCGCAGCTGCAGGCGCTCGCCGCATCTGGCGGCAAGCTCCAGACGACCTTCGGAATGCCGATCTCCCTCACCCCGACGAAGAAGGGCATCGGCATGTTCGGCATGGAGAAGATCGGCGCCGCTGTCCTCGATAAGGACATCTCCATTAAGCCGACGGTGGTTGCGCAGGGAATCTCCCGGGTGCTTAAGCCCAAGGGGTTCGTTATTAAGGGCGCGAGCGCGGCTCCCCCGGCTTCCAAGTCACCCGCGAATAAGTCACCCGCGAATAAGTCACCCGCGACAAAGTCCCCCGCGACGAAGTCTCCGACTCCTACGACTACCTCTCCTAAGACTCCCAAGACTCCTAAGACCACCGCTTAAAGTGGGTTCTCGTCTGACACTGCCAGGTGTCGAGCCGGGGAACCGAGCTACTATACTGTAGCCGGATACAACAGGCAGGGAACAATAATCAGGCAGCATATGACACGTGGCTTTTGACACATTATTCCCTGCTTGAAAAACCAATACGACGGCTTATACTTTAGATTTAGGTCATAACGTGCAGGCTGTGCTTCGTTGCACGGCCAGTAACGCGTAGGCAACTGATGTTTATACCTCGTTTTGATTCCCAAACGATACTTATTTACCTGGCTATTGCATGTTTTAATTAAACATTAAAGCCCGGAATCTCGATTTTAATGTTGGTGTTACACCCTGGTATAAGAGTGTCTAATATGGCGTACAAGTATCTGCCTTTCGAATTCGATGTTTCTGGGCTTTGTGCGAACTGGTTATTCATTCATGCGACGAACGGATGCGACATTGAGACGACATGGATCCCGCCATCTTCTCTGCGGGAAACTTATTCGCCCACGACAGCGACGACGACGATTCGCCACGTAAGGCCAGCCGTTAATTTTACCAACACTTTGATTCCCTTCCTAAAACCCTTTTTTTTTTTTTTTTTTTTTTTCCCTTTCTTTTCTTCAAGTCTCGCCGAAGCGTCTGTTCGCTGCTGTAGGGTGACTGGTATTAGTACAGCGTTAACTATTGTCTTGATGGAACCACAGCAAGGCTTCACAACGTAGTTGAGTTACTCCTTCCCGTCGCCGATCCCTCTGCTCTAACTTTGCAGGAGCTGCGCGGAATACCGCGGTGGAGGTTGACGGCGGAAGCGGCGAAAGCGGCGGAATCGAACCGAATGGCAGCGCGGCGGGAGACCAACGGGGATGCGCGCACGGGGGGGAAGCGGGGGAGGCGGAGGAGGCGGATGAGGGAATGGAGTATGCGGAGAGGCGACACAAATTTCCCGGGGGACAGGTGTGTTGCGGTGCGGGGAAGGGGAAAGGGGGGTTGATGGGGGGAGAGTGAGGGGGAAGAGAGGAAGAACGGGGTGAGGGTGGGAGAACAGCGGGGAAGAGAGGGGGAAGGGAGGGGGGAAGGCGGGGGAAGTGGGGTTCGGTTAAAAAGAGGTTTTAGGGTTTTCATCTGCCTAATCCAGGTACTGTTACTGTTAAATTCAATTTCCATCTGTTGTTTCCATCTAGTAGAATCCAACTCGCCCTTGCCTGTACTTCATTGCTCCTCCTACGGATTCTTCTCCCACAACGAGCGTTTTTAGTTTTTTCATAAGCTTGTTTTATATGCTCCTCATTAGTATTGTTACCACCTCGTTGCACTGGTCTTATATCAGGAGCTGCTTATAAGGGAGTTCTCCTTCCATCCAGTCAACGCCAACCTGCTCTGGCCTGGCGCCATGTCGTTCGCTGATTGGCTGGCCGCCCGGCCGCAAGTATTGGCCGGTGCAAGAGTCTTGGAGATTGGGAGGTGAGCGGACTTTAATATGGGTTGTGGGGGCGGTGGGGGATGGGAGGGGGGAGAGGGGAGGGGGAGGGGTGGGAGGGAAGGGGAAGGGAGGTTAAGTCGGGGTTTCTTGATTGCCTCAAATTATCCCCCTTCGTTACGATCTTGGTGTTTCCTGTCATTTCGATTTCGTGGTCTCAAAATCCTAAGCCTTGAACCCCACTATCTGTTGTGATTGTAACGAGGGTGCTTGCAGTGGGACAGGTGCGCTGGCCATCTTTCTGAGCAAGGCCATGGGGTGTGACATCACCACGTGTGACTATAACGATGCCAGCATTGCAGCCAACATTCACCACAACTGCTTGGCCAATAGCATCGAACCCCTGCCTCACATTCGACGTAAGCACGTTTAAAAGCACAATCATGTTCTCAAAACCCTAAACTGCTTGGCCAATGGGAACCATTGCCTCACATTCGACGTAAGCACAAACTATTGAAAGCACACTCGACATAAGCACCAAAACCGACTGCTATTTTTTGTATCTCCTAATTACCTTTCTTCCCTTTTCTTTCGGTCCTCAAGCTTACACAATCCAGCGTCAAGTCGATCCAAACGTCAATTAAGTTGCACAAACTCCCCACTTTCCCCCGTTTTCCCTACACGTATGCATGAATGCATGCATGCATGCAGACACATGGGGAGAACCGTTTCCCATCAGCCAGCCATCGTGGGATGTCATCATTGCCAGTGACGTTCTGCTTTGTATGTGTGGATTCTGGTGTTTTCTTCTCCCATGTCTCTTCTCGTTTTATTACATTTTCCTACATGTGCATATGAATCCATGCATACATCATTGCGCACCCATCGTGGGATCTCATTATCGCTAGTGACATTCTTCTCTGTGCGTTTTCCATGTGTCGATTTGGGTGTCATTCTTTCCCTTGGGTTGTCTCAAGTTTCACATTCATTGTTTGAGATCATCATGTGTGTACTCTGATGAGCTTTGCATTGATCTGCCCTTGCTTCTCTATACACAAGATTAAAACATATATATATTATATATACATGTCGTAAATACAATTCCCGGAGGCTCCCTAACAAGTGTATGCCTCTCACGTCTCTCCATATTCACATGGGCCATGTGATTCATGTCTTGATCGCAGATGTGAAAGAGTATCCCAATCTCGTCAAGACCCTCCGCTTCCTCCTCTTTGGCGCTCTGAAGTCCTCCCAGACCGTACAAGGCAAAGCCTCTGTGAGAGGAGGGGAAGAAGGGTGTTCGGTAGAGGAGAGAGAACAGGCAGGTTGTTCTTTGGCAGGACTGGGTGCTTCTGAGGCTGCTGTGGTGGCAGGAGCAGCAATGGATGCAGGTGAGTTGGCAGCTGCAAAAGAAGCAGCAGTAGCAGAAGAAGCAGCAGAAGCAGCAGCAGAAGCAGCAGCAGCAAGAGACGTGGTAGGGGACACAGTTCCCAATGCAGCTGCTGCTGCCTTGAAGGAAGTAGGGATGGTTGTTGATGCAACTGCTCCTATAATGCAGCCGCAGGGGAAAGAACGTGAGGCGGGATGTGGGAATGCAAGGCAGCGAGTGCAGAAGCAGCAGCGCTATAGGGAGCAGGCGCCTGCTGATGTGGCGCTGACACGGCCGTGTTTCGTGATGAGCTGGCGCAGGAGAATCCCGAGGGAAGATGAGGAGGGGTTCTTCAGGTTGTGTGAGGAGGCGGGGATGAGTGTGGTTGATCTCGGCTCTAGAGTGTTTTGTATTGCTCCAATTGCTAGTGATTGATAACCTTTCACTATAAACCAAAGACTTAGCACGTTCGCACTTGCAGTTTGCACGTTTTCAGATCAGTCTCTTCATACAGCAGCTTATAGTATAGTACATGACACTTGCAGCTTTCACTGGATGAAAGTGAGGAAAGGCTTAAAATGCTAAAGATTTATTGTCGCATTACTGTTCTGTTCTTTGGGGCTCTTGCTCGCATGGCACTTGACTTGACACTGTAAACCAATTTAAGGGTATTATTACTGTACCTGAACTACCAGGCTAAAAAAGTAGCACCTTTACACGCACCATCAACATACTAGAAGCATGAGCTACAAGCTTCACTGCCCAGTTGTCGCATGAAGCCTGAGCCCTCTCCTCCTCACTGATCCCCACACACTGGTACTGCCCCGAGCTGTCAAGCCCCATCACTCTCCCCTCCGGCGCTAGCCAATTGTCAAAAGCAGGCCCAGTTGTCACATGATTTTCGAGCCCTCTCCTCCTCAGTATTCTCCACACACTGGTACTGCCCCGAGCTGTCTCCATTCAGAAACCCAAACACACTCCCCTTATGCTCCACAGCATATCCACCCTCCACCTGTCCCCCCACACCACCATGCTTCTTACGACCGGCAACAAAGTCACCACACCCCCGCTCCCTCCCACCACCAACCCGAGACTCATCACAACCGCTCTCAAACTCGACACTCCAGTCGTTGTCCAAAGTCTGCGCCCCAGGCTCCTCTGCTGCTGGTCCCCCATTGCACGGTAAACCAGCATAGCCATTATTCATGTAGGTCCACACAGAGGGCGTCTGCTGCTTCAAGAGCTCCGGATCGCTTTGAGCCGCCTCAGAAGTTTCCCCATCTGCATCTCCATCCCCATCCCCATCCCCATCGCCATCACCATCACACGACAGGCCAGTGTACCCGTCATGCATGTAGCTCCACACAGAGGGGATTTGCTGGCTGAAAAGCTCTGGATCTTCCAAACTGTCATTGCTGCTGCCACCACTGTCACTGCTGCTGCTACTACTTCCATTCACCCTGAGCCTGCTGCTGCCGCTGCGGCTGCTGGTGCGACCGGGAGAATCACTGGGCGATCTGCTGGAGGAAGAACTCCAGGCACTCATGGTATCAGAGCCGTTGATGTCCTTGAGACCTCTGGCACTAGAGTTGAGAATAGGCAAGATAGACGTGCTTGGTGCTGTTGGTGTTGAAGTGTTTCCTGGAGTGATTGACCGTTCATTGTCGGTGATGATTTGCTCCATTGCCTCGTAAACCTGGAGAGGAATGGTGGGGCAATAGAAGGGACAGGCGAAGAGACGAGGCAGATGTAACTCAGTGTCATGCGCAACTTGGTATGTAGATGTAACTGAGTGTCAAGTTCGTTGTATCATGCAGAAGTAACTCAGTGTCATGCACAACATATGTAACTCAGTATCAAGTGCAGCATAACGTGAAGATGTAACTCAGTATCAAGTGCAACGTACCATGCAGATGTAACGCATTCTGTCCTGTGTCATGTGCCGCCTGCACGCATGCAAGATGTACTTCACAGCATCTTCCAATGTGGCCTTGCTGCTGCTCTCTCGCACAAAGGGAGCCACTTGAAGCGCTGCCGAGCAACCCACAGACACCTGGGAAGGTGGCAAACAGAGAGGCAAGGGAGGATGGCGGTTGTCTTCACAGCATCCTCCAACCGGGCCTTGCTGCTGCTGCTGTCCCGCACAAATGGGAGTGACTTGAAGCACTGCCGAGCAACCCACAGACACCTGGGAAGGTGGCAAACAGAGAGGCAAGGGAGGATGGCGGTTGTGTTCACAGCATCGTCCAACCGGGCCTTGCTGCTGCTGCTGCTGTCCCGCACAAAAGGAGTGACTTGAAGCGCTGCCGAGCACCCCACAGACACCTGCGATGGTTGCAAGGAGAGAGATGATGCAGGGTGCTTTTGGAGAACGCATGCAAGATGGACTTCACAGCATCTTCCAACCAGGTCTTGCTGCTGCCGTTTTGCAGGAAGGGGGCCACTTGAAGCGCTGCCGAGCGCCCCACAGACACCTGGGATGGTTGCAAAGAGAAAGAACAGGGAGGATGGTGGCTGTGGTCACAGCATCGCTTTTGAGTCGACTCAAGAGAAAGAACAGGGAGGATGGTGGCTGTGGTCACAGCATCGTCCAACCAGGCCTACAAGGCAAGGGTAGTGAAGAGTTGAGCTTTGAGGGGCTTCTCAGAACGCGTTTCTAGTCACCAGGCAGACTAGGAGGCACGCAGCATGATTTTTGAGGCGCCTCAAAAATCAACTAGGAGGCACGCAGCAAGAGTTGTGGTGTGAAGAGAGCTTACGAGGCAGGTGAAGAGTTGAATGAAGAGCTCTGACGGACTGATGTTCTCCAGATACTCCAAGCTCCTTGCCCTGTTGGCCGTTCAAGGAGCAGCCCAAGTGAAAGGAGGAGAATACTATAGTAATGCTGAAGCAGCTCGGTGCCGCACACATGCAAGTTGGACATTTGACACACGAGCAATCATATCACGTGAGCTGACATGGAAAAACATTTCAACAGGTGCGTAGACGGCCCACCAAAGCACTCACCCGGCCTCACACTCGTCGAAGAGAGGCGGCTGCAGGAGGGCTGGCATGGGCTTGGCTTCGCTCCAATACAGCCTCCACTTGTTGTCTGCATGTCAAGAATAACAAGCAGGTGCAACACGTGCAGAATAACTCATGAGTGGGTTGACTGGAGAGTTGCAACGCTAGTGCCCCATGATATGAAGACGCAAAGCAAGTGTGCTTGGAGTTTTATTTCCAGATACCTGGGAATAACACAGCGGGAGTTTTATACCCCAAGTTGGGCAGACGTGAGAGATAACGCGACGCACCTGGGCCTGACATGCGTGTGCTCAGGTATCCAATCGTGCTGCGCTCTCCCTTTCCTTGCACACATCCCTCCTCATCACTCGAGCCACTAGAATCGTTACCCTCCCCTCCTGTGCCTCCCGCATCCCCTCCCACTCCTCCCTCCGCTCCCCCTCCTCCCATTCTGGTGGAAGGTGCGTCACTCGACCAGTCAGCAGGCGAGTACCATCGCACAAAGTCCTCCAATATGCATCCTGGATTGGCAGCCTGCACAGGCAAGGCAATGCACAACAACACACAGACAAGCGAATGTGGATCTAATCAGCAGGCTCTGGACCAATCAGAAGGCGAGCAAGTACCACCGCTCCAAATTCTCCAGAACGCACCCCGAAGAGGACTTTTGAGGCACAGCAAGAGTCTATTTTTGCGGCGCCTCAGAAGTCCTTTCAGGCGTAGCAAGAGGCGTACTTTGAACGCCTGCAATAAAGAGCTGCTTGTGGGAGGTGACGCGGCTGCTGCCGACGTGGAAGTCCGTTTTCTGCAGCTCTGGCACGCACATGCTCGCCCCTGTCACCAGCAACCGCATTCCCCCCCCCCTCACTTTCGTACCTTGAAGGCCTGCATGTGCATGACGGCTTCTTCCAGCTCTTCTAGGTACATGCTTGTGATCAGAGGCCCATCCTGCACCCCCGGCACGCACATGCGCACCCCCGTCACCAGGAGCCGCGTTTTCCCCCTTTCACAGCGCACCTTGAACGCCTGCATGTCGGAGAAGAGCCTCTTGTGGGCGATGTTGAGGCTGCCGGTGTGCATGACGGCCTCTTCCAGCTCTGCTATGTACATGCTCGTGATCAGCAGCCCATCCTGCACCTCCGGCACACACATGCGCGCCCCTGTCATCAGCAGGCGCATCCCCCCTGTTTCACTGCCACAATCTTGCCCTGCCAGCCCCGTGCAAGGACCCTCAGTCCCAGTCTCAGTCTCAGTCTCAGTCTCAGTCGGGTCAAGAGTTTTTGCTGTTGCAGTGGTGCCAGTTGGATCAGGGAAGCAAGCCCAGGAGTAGGAGCCGTTTTGCTCACTCAGCACACGCCCGTTCTCCTCGGCAAAACACCCGGGGGATCCGCCTCGCGGCGATCCACATGGTGGCGATCGCACCGGTGATTCCAGCGGAATTTCCAGCAGCACTTCGGACAGATTGTAACTCCCACACGTCTTGCACAGCGTCGGTTCGAACCGCCCGAAATCCCCAGAAGCTGTTTCCGAGAAGAAGGGGAAGCAGTCTGGCTGCTGCAGGTGCTGCTGCTGCAGGTGCTTCTGAATGTCGCTGCTGACTCGTGCCTTGCGCCACCGCTTCCGGGCCACGGCACAGTTGAGCACCTGCCACTGCTGCAGCACGCCACACACGCTCACGTCCGGCCCCTCTTTGTCTGCAAACACGTGTGGGATGGCGATCCCCTCCTCCCACCGATCCCGCACCTGCAATGCGAATAGGGATTCGTTTCATAGAGGCGAAAGGAAATTTGGTGAGGCATGACAAATGGAAATCCGCCACTGGAGATGTTTCTGGTGCATCCAGTGCTGCAGGTGCCTCTGAATGTCGCTGCTGACTCGTGCCCTGCGCCACCGCTTCCGGGCCATGGCACAGTTGAGCACCTGCCACTGCTGCAGCACGCCACACACGCTCACGTCCGGCCCCTCTTTGTCTGCAAACACGTGTGGGATGGCGATCCCCTCCTCCCACCGATCCCGCACCTGCAATGCGAATAGGGATTCGTTTCATAGAGGCGAAAGGAAATTTGGTGAGGCATGCATGACAAATGGAAATCCGCCACTGGAGATGTTTCTGGTGCATCCAGTGCTGCAGGTGCCTCTGAATGTCGCTGCTGACTCGTGCCCTGCGCCACCGCTTCCGGGCCATGGCACAGTTGAGCACCTGCCACTGCTGCAGCACGCCACACACCCCCACGTCCGGCCCCTCCCTGTCTGCATACACGTGTGGGATCACGATTCCTTCCTCCCACCGATCGCGAACCTGCAGCGCGAACAGGGAATAATTTTGTAGAGGCATGAGAAAGGGCAATTCACGTGAGGCAGGTGCTCCTGAATGCCTATGCCGCTTCTGGGCCACGGCGCAGTTGAGCACCTGCCACTGCTGCAGCACACCACACACGCCCACGTCCGGCCCCTCTTTGTCTGCAAACACGTGCGGGATGGCGATCCCCTCCTCCCACCGATAGCGAACCTGCCAAAGTGGGGAGTTGGTGAGGGATGAAAAGGAAACTTCTGGTGAGGCATAAGATGGGGAAGCCCCCTGCTGCAGGCGCAACAGGTGTTTCTGGAGCTTCTGGTTGTTCTGAATGTCGCTTCCGGGCCACGGCGCAGTTGAGCACCTGCCACTGCTGCAGCACGCCACACACCCCCACGTCGGGCCCCTCCCTGTCTGCATACACGTGTGGGATCGCGATGCCCTCTTCCCACCGATCGTGAACCTGCAGCGCGAACAGGGAAGAATTTTGTAGAGGCATGAGAAAGGGCAATTCACGTGAGGCAGGTGCTCCTGAATGCTTATGCCGCTTCCGGGCCACAGCACAGTCGAGCACCTGCCATTGCTGCAGCACGCCACACACGCCCACGTCCGCCCCCTCCATGTCTGCAAACACATGCGGGATGGCGATTCCCTCCTCCCACTGATCACGCACCTGACGTGTGGGTGGGGAGTCCGTGGAGCATACGAAAAAAAATAAAATAAAAAAATCTGCAAGGGCATGAAAAGGACTGAGTCCCCTGCCCTCTCGGCTAACATGCCTCATGCACACACACACCTCAAGCATGCATACCACATCCGCCCTTGCACGCATACCCCACAGGTACCATGATACCTCTTGCATGACTTCAAGCCACAGGCGAGCCGTCTCTTCAGGCGATCCAATCCCCGTCGCACAGCCAGGCTCCCAGCAGGGCCGCCGTGCAGGAATTTCAGCACCACCTTTCCGTACGACCCAGCAGGTGAACCAGACACCTCATGCACACATACCTCTTGCATGACTTCGAGCCACAGGCGAGCCATCTCCTCAGGCGACCCAATCCCCGCCATCAGCTCTGCCAGTCGAACAGCCAGGCTCCCAGCAGGAGCGCCGTGCAGGGATTTCAGCACCCCCTTTTGGTGCAATCCAGCAGGTGAACCACACGCCGTTGATGGCGATCCAGGTGGTGCTTTCAACAGTCCAGATGCGTTGTTGAGAGAGATCTCACGGAGGGGAGGGAGGGGGATCCGGTTCTGGTCCAGGTCGGTTTCCTGGAAGCAACAGCCGTGGTTGCTTATAGGGGAGCCGTTGGATGAGGAGAGCTGAGAGCCGTTGGATGAAGAGTTGTGGTTGGAGTTTGGGGAGAAGTTTGTGAGGGCGCGCCAGCAGCCACAGGTGAATGCATCCATTTCCCCTGCTAGCAGCATGAGAACAAACACCGGAACCAGCATAGTCTCGTCAATTATGAGGGAACATATCATGTGCAGGGCAGGAGATTTAGACGCGCGGATTGGATCGGATACCAACATATGCAGGCAACTCCTGGTCATCCTCCTCAGAACAAGAAGGTGGATGATAAAAAATGCTATGGCTCGTTGTCAAGGCACCTGATTTGAAGAGAATCCGAACCGCGTCCTCGTTTGAGCAATCCGATAGTGAAGCTTCTATAGGGGGTGTTTCCGGTGTGGTAGCAACAGGCAGCCACGAGGAGCCGCTTAGGGTCTTCTCAACAGCACGGAACAACACGCCAGAGGGAGAATAGATACTGTCCGCGAGCTCCTTCACGGTTGTGTACGGTTCCGCATCACTGCAAAAGAAAAAATATCAATAAGGTTTGAAGTGACGAAAAAACATTCGAAAAACAAAAATCAAACCAGACAAGAAAGAAAAAGGTAAACAGAAGTCAGCAACTGACCGGACGGCGATTGCCAGGTTTCGCAGGAGGAAAGCACTCGGCGCGCTGATGGAGACATTGTCCAAGACGTTGTGCCTCTTCGATGCGTATTGCAGCGCCTGACTCGCTGATTTTATCTGCCGCTCCTGCAAAGTCAAATTTCGCGTTTACAGCTTAGAATCTCTCACATGCTGGGAGCCTAGAAGCTGACGTATATTGGGGGCCTAGAAGCTGAGGTCGCGTGTAAGATAGTGACCCACCATTTGCTCGGAGGTCCATCCTGGGTAGCGTTCAATGGCGTCAACTGTCCTGAAGTATCGCTTCCAGAACTCCTCATGGCTGAGCATCACTGGAACGAACTCCGCATGAATCTTCAGCAGCTCGTCGTCTCTCTGCATCACCAGAAACAGACCTTCTTAATCCATGTCCAGGAACCGATGCGAGCTTCACTAAACAAGTTCCAGCATGCGGACGGAGAAGGTGGTAGGTACCTTGAGAGCGGATTCAATGGCGGAGTCAGACGGCATGATGTCCGTCGTCCAGTCTTGGTCGGTGCACCAGAGGAAATCTAACGGCCACTGCGAGCGAAGCCACGGAATTGTGTATCAATACGACACCGAAACGAGAGTAGCAGTAACGAAGGAATCGTAACAAGAGCGTCATGTTTCCAGTGTTGCGGTGATTACCTTCGATAGGTCCGACAACCGGGAATCCATCTTTTATTCGTGCCAAATAGTAGTCGAACTACGCGAAAGGATTACCACCCGGAGGAAAATGAAATGTTCTCGGACAAAGCTGGCCGCGTATGACAAACAGTCAGGAAGATTCAATATACTATCTAATAACCACTGCGAGGGGCGAAGCCTTCAGAGAATCGCTAGCATTGGCGAGGTAGGCGAATAGAAAGGCTAGAACTAGACTCCCCTCAACTACGAAAACAGCAAGCTGAGTAGCTCCAGGGGACTCCGACACACAACTTCACGGTCCAAGAATCAGAACACAAGCACAATGAAACCAAAGCCAGCTCTTCGCAACGACGACTCTGAAAGTCCTGCATGCTTGACGTCGCCATGCGCAGCCCTCGCGATGGGTGAACATCCGCAAGGCACGCTCAAGCTCTCCGCGTTTCTGCTCCAGAATCCTGAGGCACCAATAATTGTCAAACAAGGGAAACACCGTCTGAAGCACTCAACACGAACCCCAGAAAGCTTCCTTCCAGTCACACACCATCCGAAATTGTGAGCAGATCCGGAGCGCGCTGTTTTCAATGGGGATGTGTAGCGGTTTCGTTCGGTTTGTTGAGTTCTAACACGGTATCCGCTGAGAAAATAAACACGCTGACCAGGAGGGGGGGTGATTGGGGAGCAAGGGGACGAAAACAGCTGCTGTAGAGGCGTGGGGTGGGATGGGGAGGGTTTTGAAGGCTATAAGCATATCTTCTGGCGGACGGGACTGTCGCCCAAACTTCTTCCAGCGAGCCTCACAACCACGCGGACAATGTGGTCCGCAGCGCGCGTTGCTTTTTGGCTGACCGGGGGGGCGCCCTTCCCCCGACCCTGGTCATTGATGAATTGACCCGGAGTGCCGCGTGTTGCGGTGAGACTTGAAACGAGGAAGAAGTGTACTCGCAATATATAGAAAGTTAAATTACTTTTGAAGAAATCCCGCACTCATTGCATCTCTCAAAACCAGGCTCACAACTGGCCAAGTTTTAATATGGTTACAAGTACACCAGTCCTACTACTAGAGAGCTACTATATCAGGGCAACGGGAAACTATAAGCATACAGTAGCAGCGTCCCCATATGAACTAATAGAAGGAACTGCAGATGAAGGCAGAACAGCAAGGCCCAGAAGTAGCAGCATTACCACAACTGGCAGCAGGAGAATGGCACTTGGAGGCGCTCCAAGGTTAGGCAGCAATATTGGCACCACCAGCAGCAGGAGGAGAAGCACACAAAACGCCACTTTGGCCTGCCATGTCAAAGCCGCTACAAAGCCGGTTTTAGACTCCTGAGCAGACACACCCTCAATACTTCCATTTTCCGCCACTCTTAGCAAAGCACTTGGCCCTCCCATTGATGTTACAGTGCTACCAGGTCCCCGCATGCTGACATCACGAAGGGAACTCGCGCGATTAACACCATCTCTGGTTCCACGCAGCACAGCATCTGATCCGTCGCCAGCCAATGGCAGTTCAGCTGGTGGGACTGAATAGACACGATTGTAACGATAGCCGTTCCTTTCCCCGGAGATGCTTCGCTGAGCCGACGCGTGACCAGAAGTTCCTGGAGATCGAACCTGTCGCTGAGAAACCCTAGTAGCATCAATCGGTGAGCCATTTTTCGTAAGAAGGCCCAAATTACGGCGGGAAAGTATGTCAGGAACGTGGCGCGGCGCAGATTCTTCTCGCGACGAGACCCGGGAAATGTCGGAAGCAGTAGCGCGAGAATCTGAGAGGCCGCTATGGGCTCCAATCGACCTCGACCACTTGCCAGCCCTACCGCCACTTAACCTTTCCGTTTCCTCCTCCATCAGACTAATGACGGGCTGGTAGTATTGCGACTGATAGCTAGAAACAGAACCTTCATTGTGAACCATTGAAACGGTCTCTGAGGAACGGCAGCTCAAAGACGTCTGTCGAAATTCTGAGAAATGGTTATCCTTGAAGAGAAAGAGGCAGTGTGCTCCTAACTAACAGATGTGGGATGGGAACCTGGGTTGGAGGGGAAACTTGATTTGGCCAACGCGCGGACACTATTTCAGCCATAATGGCAGCAGGGGGGGTGATGCTGGTGCACTGTTCCGCAGCAAAGGCGGCCCTCCTCTGACTCCGATGATTCGACGATATGATCACAAGGACCTCGCTGTCGGCTTGCTCTTCCAGCAGAACCAGCAGACGCACGCACGAATCCAACTCGGTTCGGCCTGATGTGGTTCGGATTTTGCAGCGATATGGGCGAACGGAGTTCGCGAAATCTGTGATTTGAAGAATCTGTATGGGACTTGGGTTGTTGGAATGGAAACCCTACGCAGTCGAGACTTTACCGTGTGTTTTAGTTTTGCCCTGGTTGAAGACAACCTGGAATATGGCAGTCCGCCAGACGGGTGACGGAAAACCACTGCCCATTGCTATGATCCTTGTACTGTACACAAAGTTCGGGTTTAGTGCCCTTATAAATCAAATCTTATGAGCTGCATCAGCCACTCATTTACCCGAATCACACGACTGCCATGCCTAGAAATCAGGCTTGAAAAGCAAGGCCTCACTTCACACACCTGGCAAGCAAAGCGGCCCAATAGCAGGAGGCCTGGCAGGGATCACCCACACGTGAGACTTCACCACCGCCGTCCTCAAGCAAGCCAGCTTAGGAAATCAGACGAGGGTGTTCCAGCGCGGCGAAGATGTGTGATGGCTGGACATTAACTGCATTGTACATTGACAGCTCTGGTATATGAGCTAGATAGCCCGCAACCGAACTGAACCGAAACGTCCATAGCAACAGGTTCTAAAGCCTTATGGTAAAACCTCTTCATAAGTGTTCGCAGTATCACCAAAAGGGTAAAATTGCTGTAGGACTCAATGGTGTTTCGGGAAATATTAACCATGCACTTAATAAAAAAGAGGTGGGATAATAGCAATGCATGAAAGAAGCGGCTTGGCCGGTAAAAGATCGTTATATTTTGTATTTAAATTGATGCGGACAGGTTTTGGGCATTGCAGTGCTATATTCATAAGTTGATCGTGGCCTACGATCTACTCAAGAAGGTTTGCACGCAGAGAAGTGGTGTTGGTGGGCCCTTGGCCTCAATAGCAGAGTGAATGTAAATGCTTGAGATGATTAAGACATGCAAATACTGTTGGAAACAATCGGTCATAAGCGTGTCAAACCTATATTTGTAACTGCCTGTAGCTCAGGGCCTATTTTATCAGGGTAAATCACCCTGATGCCCTGATGAACAGGGTGGTTTTTAGGTAGTGACACTGATGCGGTAGGGTAATTTTTAGGACCTTCATTTACCCTGATGTGCCATGGTTTATGATTGTGCTACACTGTCGCCTCAGGGTTGCCTATCCTCTTATCGAGTTTTACCCTGAAGCGACTTCCAGCCAACCCCCGACCCCCCCCCCCCAACCTTCCCCTAACCCCCCTACCCAGTAACCTGGGAATCCCCTTTGCCAACTGTCGTAACTGTAAATTTCGGCACGACATTACGTGTGCTGGTACGAAGTGGGCCACCATTGGCCTTGAAAAATTGTTACACTGATGACCCAGGGTAGAATTTTCTGGATCTGCAAAAACCCTGACAGATCAGGATTTTCACTGAGGGATACTCAGATAATCAGGATTTTGATGATGTGCAACACTGATCGTAAGGGTTGGCTAAAACCAAAAATTAGCCCTGCTGTAGCTGTAGTTGGTGTAGTTATTTAAATCTGTAGGTGGTGCACCTCTTCACTTGTTTCCTTTGCTATATGTACTTCGAAACTATAGTGAAGCATCATTCTTCCCAACTTCTCTTTCAACTCACTCGAACCTCACCCTAGGCTCGAACTACTCGACATCATAGTTGGGCCTAGGCTACTAAGCCTAGGCCCTAGTTTTAACTACACATTCACGTTTACTTCTTCACATGTTATCAGAGCGACGTTCGTTCTGGCCTGTGCGCCCGCCTCACGTTTCCGCTGCTACGATTTTCCGGTCGCGCGCCTAGGGCGCGTGGCGATTTTTCCTTGTCCCGCCCCCGGTTGGCGTGTGACGCCTTCTCTGCCCGTCGCGCGCCCCGTGGCACGCGACGGTGCCCTTAACCTGCCCGTCGTGCGCCCCGTGGCACGCGACGGTGCCCTGCTCGTCGTGCGCCCCGAGGCACACGATCGGGCCCTTTCACTTAAACTTACCCGTCGTGCGCCCCGTGGCACGCGACGGGCCTTTCCGCCCCTGCTCTCCCTGAAGCCGCCCCTGACCTATCAGCGCCGACACCGTTTAGCCGCTCTGCGGCTTTCTTCCCGCCCACCCCCTCCTCCTTTGTCTCCCTGCAGCCGTGGGGAGGAGAGTATGGGGGTGGCGGGTGTTGGAGTGTTGGGTCGACTCTTTCCCTTCCCCTCCTCCTCCTTTCAGTCCCACCGCTGCAGCTGCCGCTGGGGGGGAGGGTGTGAGGGTGTGGGGGAGCAGGGGGAGTGGTACCGGGGTGGCGGGAGTGAGGCAACACGCAGCCGTCCCTCCATCTCTCCTCTCTTCCCCCCTTCTCTGCTGCTCCTGCAGCAGTGTGGGGGAGGGGAAGGAGGAGGGTGAGGAGATGGAGGGGGTGACCACCTAGTGTCAGCCCGCCTGCATTACCTGCTGTTGCTTGCTTTTTATTGTTTTGCACGTGTACACCTGCAGGTTCTATTCTGCACATACTCCTGCTCCAGGCAGTTATGGGGGAGTGTCAAAACCTATATTTGTAACTGCTTGTAGCTGTAGTTAGTGTAGTTATTTAAATCTGTAGGTGGTGCACCTCTTCACTTGTTTCCTTTGCAATATGTACTTCAAAACTATAGTGAAGCATCATTCTTCCCAACTTCTCTTTCAACTCAC